GTGTGAAGACTGCGGATGGCTCTGAATGGTCGTTTATAAAGTGCAAAAAAAACACTGAAAGTGCTAAAATGACGAATAGTGAAAGCACCAGAGGCGTCGAGGAGAACATCGAAAAGCGGCGTGGACGCAAATCTCTCACCTCCATTATCAGAGCACGCTTAGGACGGAAGGGAGGAAGCAAGGAAGGAAGGAAGGAAGATGTCAGAGGTGCAAGCATTGTGATCCTTGAGCACCTCAACTCATGAGAACTTATGACCGCCTCTGCTTGTCTTTTATGTAAACAATGGCAAAGAATCCGGTCGAAGATGATTTTTGCTCCACAACACGGCTGGAGACTTTTGGTTGCAGAGTGGGTCTGACTGCTAAAAAAAAAAAAAAATCAATTGCGCAAGAAAGCGCCTCAGTTTCATATCATCAACGTCTTATAAATAAACATCATTAACTCTCAACCATTTTGGACTCATTTTACGAGCGCTGCCTACAAACGGAACAGACGCATCAGCGCAGAGACAAACAAAACAAACGAAATCCCACCCGGAACACGCTGGCGGCACATTATCTTTGACATTGCCAAGCACAAGGGAGCATGTGGATTTGGTCAACTGTTTCTCTTACAGAAACGTAACTGTAATTTTTGGAGTAAAGTGCATCCAAGTGTTCCAAAATGTCTTAATAAGAAAGTTCCGATTGAAGGGAAGGCAGCACCTTGCTGACATGGTTCACATGAATGCATCATCGTCGGGAGGTTAGGGGTTCAAATCCGTCGTTCACTCTGGTGTCCAAGCTTGGCACAAATTCATAAAAGGTGTATATTCTTTATCCTCTGTGAAAAAAAGACTCGTATGACTGTATCTTATTGAGTGTGCTTATTAAGCGCCTTCCCTCTTGTCCACTCCAGAGTCTGCAGCAAGTCGAGCGCCCCATAAAGGTGAAACTTCATATTGCGCGCTTTGAGTCATTTCAGCTGCCCACTGGCTGTAATGTGTCTACTACACCAACAGCCGAGCGTCCACATTAGATTTTATTAACTGGTGAAAAATACTTTGGGAAAACAGTATTCTATTTTAAATTACTTTAACACATGCGCCTTTCAAAGTCGACTGCAAGATGGGCAGTGCGCACGTCACCAGCCGTCGACCATTAGCACAAAGTCCGTATCCACTACGCAAATGAATTTCTCATTTCGGGGATGGCCTATTTTACAAATGGATCTCGACGGACGATGCCGTTAGTTCTGACTGAGAGACTGTCTGACTATTATACTGCCCCCTGTTGTCCAAGGCGCACACACCAGAAGGAGCACAGGGGCTCGAACAGATTAATAACATGTCCATGGATTTTAATGGAGAAAGATGATTTGAGATAGAAGTTGGTTTTTTTTCGTTATGAGCATGGTCACAAAAAAAAAAAAAAAATGGAACTCGTAAGTGAAGGCACACTTTATTTTATTTGTCTTAGTGATAGAACTGTAGCTCAATGTTTTGTTTTGTTCTCCAAGAAATGCTCATTGGTCTCATTAGTGGTTGCTTGCTGCATCCAAGTACAGTAAATAATACTTACGCCGTCCCTTGATTTCTACACTGCAGAATTATTCTGTGTTGAAGGCCCATGGAGTGGATTTATCTAGATAATAATAATGTCCCGCTCTACCTTGAAAAGTGGCCCGTGTACATATATTGGTGTCGTAAAATGCAAATAGGCTGCCACTGCAAGTCACTGCTCTCGTTTATTTACATTTCCAAATCTCAGCGGTAAAATATTGACTTTCCTTGTGGCATTGCAACTTAGCACATTAGCCAATGGAGGGGAAAAAAAAAAAAAAAAAAAAAAGAAATCAGCCTTATGAAAATTCACGACGGCCCAACCCCTCAGAGGCGTCAATAATGAATGATACTTCCTTTCCCAGCCTCACTCGTGGGTCAAGGGTTGATGTATGGGAGCCCGGCGGGGACAAATAGGACACATTAGCGAGGGTTGGCTCTGTGCAAATGGGAACTGAGTGATGGCCCTGAAAGTTGACATCCTGTGACATATCCAAATACATCGACACGTCAGTCATTATTGACTGCGGAAACAGTAAATTCTTTCTCACACACACGCACACAAACAAAATAAAGAACACCCAAGAAAGACACCACCTTGGGGCGAGCAGATTTTTTTTTTTTTTTTTTTTGTGAAATCACAAATCAACCTGTGTTATATCGACTTCCCCCTAAAGAGCACCTTCGTTGCATAACAAAGAGCAATTAATCCAACTTGAACGCTTTCCCGTAGAGTGTCCGTATGCAATTAATTGGATTGCGGCTAAAGCAAGTTGCGCACTGCTAGGGGCATGGATGCAATACGTACATTTGTTTGCACTTCAAATCCCAAAGAAGCAAGGGGACGCTTAGAGTGGTCTTGTGGATATCAGTGCTCGGTAGCTAGATGACACCAAGGATGTTCAATGTTCAAAGTGGGAGTTGGCACACCGAGCTTGCGGGAGCTTGATTGAAACTGTGCTGGTATAGTCCTAGTGAAAATCTTTGACACACCGCTTTTAGTTCCTTTTCAAGAAGGGATATTTGATCTCCTCATCGCAGAGTTACTGTGACCATGCATTCCTGCACCGAAGAAACCCAATCATAATGTAAGGCGTTATTACCGTTTTTTTTGTATTTTATGGCGGGTTGTCAAACTTCACTCACCATGCTCCAATCACACGCAACGACGCACACAGATGTTTTGCAATTCAGTGGTGCCCATCTGCCAAATAATCACGGTTCAAATTTGGTAGCAGATACCCGCACTAAAAGGGGAGCTTCAAACAAAAAAAGCAGACTTCCTGTGTCTCTTCGAACAAGGGTTTTTTAGGGACTTTTTTTTCCACTAATGATACTCGTGCCTCCAGAATTTCATGTTGCTAAGTGACCTGGCTTGAGCGGCTGAAAAAAAAAAAAGATGAATGAAAAAAAATATATTGTAATATATAATATAAAATACAGAAGGAAAAGGTCCTGGAATGGCTCAAAATGTTGAATTCCAAAGTGTTTCAGTGTGTACGGTATGTTCAAAAAAGATTCCCTCACAAGTAAAACATGGGCATTTATACACCCCGTGCTGCTTTTATCCTTTAAGTGGATCATGTCCTGATTCCACATCAACAAAACTCGATCTCCTGTAAACTCCATCCCACAAAAGGCCACTGCCCTCAGAATTGCAAAGCAGCTCCAAAGTGCAGCATAAATCCAGAGACAAAAGGCAAAACTGAGTGGACAATTTAGCGCAAGTTGCTTTTAAAAGGTCTCGCGGCCCACACGCTATCATTCAGGGCAGTGACACAGGCCAAAATTGCGCTCATCTAGCATCACCCACTCCACAAGTTCACATGTACTCAAACACGAGGATAAAAACAAGGACAGAGCTTTAAAAAAAAAACAAAGTAATAATAATAATAATAATAATAAAGCGAGTGGGTCAAGATTTAGTGATGGAATTCTAGTATGTCAATAAAGCGGGTGTTCCGGGTGGTTAGGCACACGTGCAGACTAACTTTCCCAACCGTGGGGAAACAGATGCAGGGAATGTTTTGTGGCTTTGGGAATCGGGCTGGAATGAATGGAGGGAAAACGTGGACATGTTTTATTGAGAAATATTTCACAATACATATTGCATCTGGTACTGAGACCGGTCATCGAGGGTCTCAATTCAGCATGTTTGCAAGCCCTGAGAAGCCTGATAATGGTCCTGATCACTTGAATCAGTTGTGTTGGAGGAGGGAGAAATCTAAAACATGCAGGATAGGGGCCCTGAAGACCGGAGTTGGACACTCCCGACCTAGTTTTTGTTCAACATTATTCACTGTCATCCTGCTTTTTACGCCTACAGACAGCAATGGCTGGAGTTTCATTGAATGTACATCTTTGGGCATGTTTATTGACGTACATTGTGAGACGTTCAGTTTATTTGCTTGGTAAAAACGGAATTTCTTTTCTGTGAACACAGGGTACACCGTTACGCAGTTGTATAATATTTTTGTGGTTTCCAGTGCTCGTTCTCTCTCTCTCTTCCTCACACTCTCATTAAATTATATGTGCTTAAAGGTGTTGTGCTTAAGTGTGTTTAAGTAACCTAAAACAAAAGTAAAAATATATAAATAAATAAAATCAAGTGCCATAAACGTAACCAGCATGACCGGAGGATGGTGGCCATTTGGAATTTCAGGTAAACCCTGAACGGCTGGTCCATTCCAGGCTGAAATTGGGTGTGTATCAGCTGTATCTGCTCCTGTGCCCGACCAACATCAAGTCAACAGTAGATTGACAACAATCGCCAATGCGCCATCGCACGCTGTATTACGCCCCTTCCTCCTTCAGTCTTTAACATCTCATTAAACAACGCCACGATGTGACTCGGGGACATCAGGCTACTCAATTATGCAATGCAAAGCGCGGCGAATAATTAAAGCTACAATCAGTGTCGCGTCATCATGCAGACAGTCGTCAATTAGAAGCTGATTGCAGCGATCACGCCTGTCGTGACGCCGCGTAATTATTGTCAAGGAGTTATGTTGAAGTTGGGCTTGCGCCCTATCTGCAAATTAGACCCCCCAAAAAAAAAAAAATTAAATGGCTCATAAGTATCAAGGCATTGAGAGGCATGGTTTGATCTCATGTTTAATTGCATTGCCAGTTTGCACTCCTTCTAACACTGAATTAGGCAAGAACCCGTGTTTGTAACTTTAGTGGATGTTAAAAAAAATGAACCCAAAGATTATCTATTTGAAGAAAAAAAGTCTTACAAATAAATCTGCATTCAATGAATGTCATGTTTTATAAACAGCTGAGAGGTACAAGCTCTTCCTGGGTACAGGGTTTGTGGACCACTGGTATACAACAATAGTTCAACGTTTGGTTCAGACAAAACACGCAAACACAAAACTAATTGGGTTTCGCTTATTAACTTTTTAGGCACAAATCCCAACAAGCATCTTGATTTTTGCATTTTTAAGTTGAACTCACCAACATCCCACTTGCTGTCACTTCCACGTGGTGTCCTCATTGTACCTTCCCCACTTCCTGTTTCTTGCACTTCCGAGCCTGCCATTTCAGCAGTCAGTCCTTAAAGGTGCAGTGACAGTTAAAAATGATATCTTGCTCGCAAAAATCAGTCGTGCACATGAATGACTTGTGGGTCAACTGCCACTATTTTTGCTTTTTGACCTGAGTAAAACTAACCTGAGCCCAAACAACACAGCGCACGTGGGTAGGGGAGCTTTTCAATGAGCCATTCTTCATTTGCGTCACTCGGCCGACATGGCAGCCTTTCCCCGCGGCAGCGGCTGAAGACTCAAATCAAAGCGAGGCGGCACCGGCGAGCTCCGTCACCTCCCCGGAGATGCCGCCCGCCTCTGCAAATGCAAGGAGAAGCCGGGGCTTGGGCTTTGCTCATTGATATCGCCCACCGTGGTAAAGAGCTTCAAATGGGCGGAATTACAGGATCAATAGGGTGATTAGCGGAGGCCTTGTAGCTGCAGTCTGTTATTGGCAATCTTTTGTAGTTTGTACGATCCGACGAGACCCAAGAGACAGAGGAGGTGTTGCGCCTTCCTTTGTGTGGGAGATACTCGGTGGATAGATGCATAGATAAGGGAGGGGTCAGCAACATTTTGAAAAGTGAGAGTAACTTCTTGGCGACTGATGAATATAAAGGGCTAAAAAAAACCCAAACAATTGGCTCAAGTTCTTGTTATTATTCATTTAATCATCAACTGGAATCCATTTCTTTACTGCCACTGACAAATATAGGGGTGGTTCTCAGAAAGTGTGCTCCAACCGGATGGTCAAACGCTAACTCACTTCAAGAGTTGTTAATTTTGTCCTCTCATAATCAGTCGCCAGATTTTACTGCTTACAATAGATAGATAGATAGATAGATAGATTGATAGATAGATAGATAGATAGATAGATAGATAGATAGATAGATAGATATAGATAGATAGATAGATAGATAGATAGATAGATAGATAGATAGATAGATAGATAGATAGATAGAAAGATAGATCGACCTTTGTCTAAATGCTAAAAATTGTCCTCTTGGAGTGGACTGCATTTTCCCAGATACATTCAACAAGGGCATTTAAAGCACTTTTGTGCATTTTCAAATATGGTGCATGGGCTGGTTGTGCTTATATATTATATATTTAATATAGTCAACAACAGCAGTAAGGTCATCCTGAACAGAGCAGATCCAACTCTGTTCAATCAGTTGCCACCTAGAAACTGGTTGAAGTGTACATTGCATTCTGGTATACAATTATCAAGACATACAGTAGTTCAACTAAAATAGAGAAAAATGTTTTGCCTGAGTGAAAGGTCACGAGAGAGGGAAGAGGACAGTAGAAGATTATAAAGTGTTCTTTTTCTTAATGACATTAAAAATATATATATAATAATAATAATAATAATAATAATAATTTTTGGATCTGGGGGGGATGCCCGGATGAATGGCATATTCATTTGTTTTGATTGGGAAAGATTTGATATAATTTGAGTGCTCTGAGTTCAGAGCGTGCTTGCAGAATGAGAAAACCTCATATCTCAAGGCACCACAGCATAGAGTAGTCAAACCACTTTTGACGATGCGCCTGCATTTGCAAGCGCGGCCCACTAGTTGAATGACATTACAGGAGCAAACTGGCGGGCGGCCCTCGGGGCGAGAGGCACCATCGATGTTGCCAGTATCTTCGCCCTCCTAATCTCTGTCGCCTGGGCCAGCTCTGCTATCGGTAATAGATCTCGGGGGATTAGGGGCTCCCTTCTGGAGACACTTCCCTCTCGTCACTGAAGACCAGCGGTGCGCCAGTCATGCGGAACTGGGGCCGAGCCAGCCAGAGCGGAACATTAGAAGAGGATCGTGAGGGGGACACAAAGATGGGGTTAAAAAGGGGGGGGGGGGGGGGCAAAAGATGGTGCAGAGTCGGGACACGCGGGAAGCAGGTAGGGGATGGGAGGAGAGGAAGGACGGAAGAGACATGAAGCGAGAGGAGGATAAGCACCCGGGCAGCTGGTGGAAAGCCAAGAGCCCATGTAATTTCTGATTTCTCTAATCCTTCTGGCATTTATACTTTTAGCTGACAGATAATGAAAATGAAAAATGAAATGAAAAAGTTCCACTCACCGAACGCTGGCCATGGGATTCAATTTTTTCTTTTTTTTGGTCTCTTTTGTAACACCTCGTTGGGCCCGTGCGCTGAGCCAGCAAAACTCAAATAAATATGAGAACTTCAGGTACTAGATTCTAGTGTGAGACAGATGGGTGTGGATGGATGGATGGATAGCTAGTTAGCTAATTAGCAAGCTACATAGATAGATAGATAGATAGATAGATAGATAGATAGATAGATAGATAGATAGATAGATAGATAGATAGATAGATAGATAGATAGATAGATATGTAAGCTTTTGTTAAATTGTTAATTATTATCATTTTATGTTTGCATTATATTCTATAAGCATTATATTCTTTTATGTTAAGGTTATCTAAATTATATTCCGTTTAATAATTGCTTGAACATGTTTATGTAGATAGCGTCTGATTGGCTGAAGGAAAGCAGGAAGTGTTTTGAGTAGCCGGAAAAAGGTGTGTTGTGTTCCTTCGGGAGTTGCGGAGCAGACGTTAAAAAAATAAATGAAAGTTGCGTTCAAACGAAGTCCATCTCTCCTTTTTTTTTTTTTTGGCCCATTCCTAACGTAGAGCCATCCATTCAAAACCTACGAACCCCTCAACTTACAGATAGATAGATCGATCGTGCCCACCAGAATTTCGAATACAAATGCAATACTCTGTTGTGCCCGTATCACAACTCTACTCATGTGCGCACAGTCAGCAGGTCCTCCGTCGCTCTCGGCAACGCACCCGCCCCTCGTTTTACCTAAAGCCGTGCTGCCCAGGGATGGACTAATGCACTTAGCCTTGGGCAAGCAGATGGTAAAAGCAGGAAACACGCACATTGAATGAACTTCTGATCTGAAGCCCCATTCCAGTGATGGGCATCTTCCTAAAGAAGGAAGGAAACTCGAGTTAACTGTGTTTGTAACCAGAGCTACAGCTCGGTTGCAAATACACGATCCTCAACTGCATTGTCACTAATGAAGTTGATCTAGAAAAAGTAGTATTTCATGGTCATGCATGTTAGTTTTAGGTTCATAATAGACAGGGATTTGGCACCATCTTGTGGTGTTTTAGGGCACAGCAAAACAGTGAATGGGTGAGCTTTTTAGCAAATAATGAAAGATAGGTTACAAAAAAAAGAAAAAAAAACAAAAACAAATCAAATAGTTGAATTTACGAATCACAAAGGGGAACACTGAACTCCAGATGACCAAAAGAGCACCGCACTTGCAACAACCATGCCTGCTGCCCCTTTGTCACATCTCATCTTGAATGCACTTAATTTTAGAGTCAGCCAATCCTCCATGAACTGTGTCCAGTTGGTCCAGAATGCCACCCCTCGCCTCTTAACTGCTACTCTGGCATCCCTTCACTGGCTCCCGATACATTTTAGAGCTCTTTTTAAGATCATTTTGTTTTCAATGTTGAAATGGCCTCGGCCCACCTTACCTCTCTGAGCTCCTCCGCCCCGACGCGCCTGCCTGGTGCCTCAAGTCTACGGACCAGACACTATTTTAGCTGTAACCGAGAACTAAGCGGAGGCTCAGAGCTGATCGACCCTTTTCCGTTGCCAGTCCCTCTCTTTGGAACGACCTCCCGCCGAACGTTCAGCAGCAAGGATTTACAACTGCACATGTTGAAATGGTTTACGATTGTCAGGGCAGACAGATTTCTGAGCAGATCAGAGGGGGAAAACTCCTCTTAACACACCCCTCACAACAGGATAATCACTCAGGATCTTTTTTTTTTTTTTTTTTTTTTTTTAGAGACATTAAAGAATTGAGCTTTTGCTGCCTTGGAGCAGGAGTGGAGGAATCAGGCTCAAAATTGCACCGATTATCAGTGAGTGTAAAGCACGGTTTAGTTCGTTCGGTAGTTTTCACAATTTCGCTAGCACGGTGACACAAGGGGGGTCCAAGAGAGAACCGATTAAAATGTTGATACACATCCATGCAAAGCTCTGGCTCAAAGAACCATTTGGGAGCTCATATTGTTTCCATAACATTCTATAACAAACCCCCTTTGTTTTGAATAGCACCCAAATAACATCATAATAAAATGGTGGATGATTCCCATGAGAACACATCATTACACAATGGATAAGATGCGGCTAAATAAAGATTACATGAATTATCAAATGAAGGGCAATTATCTCGCCATCGGATATCATCCGTCCTGATATAGTATGCCAGTCATTTTAATTAAGGCTGCTGAAACTCTCAGCTCAAACTGGCGTCGCCTCACCATGGCCAAGGGATTGATGACTTCTGCGGCGCCCAAATAAAACAACACAACAAAACAAATGGCCGACACAGGCCCGGACAGAGGGTTTCATTGGTCCGTACTTGCACACATTCGGCTGTTTGGCACGGCGGAATGTTTGTTTTTAGCGACTGCCACAGCCCATTTGGTCTTTGATGGAGGGATGCCGTAACACATTTTTATAATAATCATACATGGATTGGTCATGGGAATAAACCACCTTTGTCAAAGCATCCAGCCACGGGGAGAGCAAAATAGATTAGCCTGGAGTGTTCTTTCCCTCTTTGCTGGCCGCATTTCACTCTGAGCCAAAGCTGGTTGCCTATTACGCATAAAGACGCATATGGTGTCGTATTAAAAAAAAAAAAAAATGCGAGGCGGGCGCAGAGGGTGGGCTGGTAAATCCAGAGTTATGACGCCGGAGCAGCGCTTGGCGGCCCGCACGAGCAAAACAACTTAATGTCAGTCGCTAATCTAGTTGCAGGTGTTCATGGGAGCAAAAGAACATTTTGCACACATTTATTCAAATGCGCTGAGAGTCAAGCGCGCAAAATATGATGACATGGGTGGGAATGGGAGATGTGCAGAAACTGAAAAACATCCATGTCAACCTGTGAAATATCGTGTGTGTGTGTGTGTGTGTGTGTGTGTGTGTGTGTGTGTGTGTGTGTGTGTGGCACAACGTAGCTAGCTGCAGCTCCAGCAACAATACACATTAAGGCCATCCGACATGATCGACGGGAGCGTCCACCTCGAAGGATATTGCCATTTTTCCACGGATGCTCCCTCCGCGCTCTCAGGCCACCGCTTAAAACCTATAAAGACTGAAGAGAGTGACACCCCCTTTAACGTTTGCTCAATTTGAATACTTGTCCTGTGACAGCAAATTGCACCGCTCCCACCACTCCTTCTGCAAATACCACCATTTTTGCATTCAGGCTGCTTTTTATGACAGGGGCACATCCATCATGAGGTAAAGTGGAAAAAAAGGAAAAATGCAACTCAGTGAGGGGGCGCAGTTATTTCAGCGCTGTTTATTTGGCTTTGCTATATCGTATGCCATTTATTAGCAACATCATGTAAATGCAGCCGCGCTACCTCGACTATCATCAGTGTAGAGCATACAGAAATCTGGATGGTCCTTTTTTTTTTTTTTTATGTACACAATGTCCATGAGTTCCAAAAATCACTTGAAATGCGGACTCATCAGACCACAAGACACTTTTCCACTTTATGTCAGTGCTCTTCTAAGAAAAGCTCAGGCACAAAGAAACTGGCCATGTGTCCAGCTTTGGCATTGCATGCTATATTCTTAACTTTTATTTGTCGATGTCAAGGATGTCAAAGGTCAGATTTCTCAGGATCTTCTGATGAAGTTGCGGATTGTGTACTTCATGTGAACAACTGAGCCTTTTGGGGATGCTCCTTTTGTGTGTGTTTGGGGGGGGGGGGGGGGGATTTAATCTGGGATTTTCCAACATTCACCAAAGAATTACCGGTACTCATTGACATTTTTGGTTTCTTTTTATTTGCTTTATGGTGAACATGCAGCGGGTCATATTGACCCATGAACATTTCTGGTGTAGCCAAGAAACAATCACAACAGTGGGGGTTAAGTGGAGACAACAGTACAACATTCAAAGTGAGCCAATTTAGTCACACACAAGTAAATACAAAACTAAAATTACCGGTATTTGCTGAAAAAAGCTTTTTTTTTTTTTTTTCCTTTTTCTTCTGTCATGCCCTAGGATGCTGCTTCTTGCATGGCGTCATGTTAGCAGGAGGAGTTGCTCGCGTTAGCCACCAACTCATTAACAGACGGCTTGACAGATGGCAGAAAGCAGGGTGGTAAACCTCTCAAGATGATACGGAAAAAGGTCTGCATCACCATTGGCAGGATTGCAAGTTAATAGCTGATGAGCGCGACACGGCTTGCTGCACAATAGGTTGTGGCAATAAAGACTTAATTGCGATATATAAATCCATTTAAAACATAATCATATCGACATAAAACATCACTAAGTGACAATGAGATCGCTTGTAGGAAAGTGGTAATTTGAAACAAAAGTGGAATTTTCAAAAAAAAAAAAAACACCAAACAAGCATGGAATAAGCACTTCAAAGGCCTCTGAAATCCTCCCAAACAAATTCCATCCTTTATCTCAGCCGCTTATCCTCACAAGGGTCATGGGGTATGCTGGAGCAGATCCGAGCTAGGGGGGTACACACTCAACTGGTTGCCAGCCAATCACGGGGCACACCAAAACAAACATTCACACTCACAGTCACACCTCGGACAATTTAGTTTTCCATTCGCCTACCGTGCATGTTTTTGTAACGTGTTAGGAAACCGGAATACCCGAAGAAAACCCGCGCAGGCACGGGGAGAACACGCAAACTCCATACGAAAGACGCAGCCGGAATGGAACCCTGCACCTCTGTGAGGCGAACACAGGGGGTAAAAACGTCCCCGTACAAGACGGTGGTTGACTGGTTGGCACGTCTGCCTCACAGTGCAGATGTGCAGGGTTCGATTCCGGCTCCGGCTTTCCTGTGTTTTCCCCGGGTACTCCATTGTCCTCCGACATTCCAAAAACATGCACCGTAGGGTTAATTGTTTACTCTAAATTGTGATGGTGATGAGCGCGAATGGTTGTTCGTCAATGTGGGCCCTCTGCGATTGGCTCAGTCCCTTTCCGAACCTATCATCGTATTTTTCAAATTCTTGGTATCATGTATTCAGGCTAAAGTGGCCGTTTCAACAAAAACCTGGCATTGTGACAGACTCTGTCATTTTGACGAGGAGGAGGCTTAGTCTAGGTTCAGATTTCCGAAGTTAAGGAGGTTGTTGGCTTCGGACCAAGCAGGGTGTTGCGCTCCGTCCATCACTGTGGCGACCGTGTTGCCGCTGGCCAGTCTGTGGCTGTCGCCGCCGATGGTAGCGTCGCAATCGGTGCAGCGTCGAGCCTCCATAGCCCCACCGCACTCAGTGATAACGTAGACGTGGCCGTTGGGGCACTGATACCAGTGTCCAGAGCGTACGTTCATGGCCGAAACGATCATCTTGCGCTCGTCGTCGCTGATCCCCAAACCGGTAACGGGCACCTTTTGCTTCATCACCTTCAAGGCCTCGTTCCCTCTTTGTTCGTCTTGCTCGGTGAATTGGCCGCACTTTCCCAACGCCTCCTCCACAATTTTCTGGGTCTCAACATCAATTTGGTGACTCTTCCCGAGTTTCACCGCTTGGCTCAAAAGGGCGATGAATTCCGCCCAGAGCGTGAGCCTCTGCAATTCCCTTTGCAAATCAAAGAGCTGCTGCTCAGTGAATTTCTGGTGAAAGTGATCGACCCACAATTGGAAGGTGTCTATCGTCATCCTGAATCTGTTGATTTCGACGGATGTCTCGGCTTTTACGGCCGCCAGGAGTTTCTGAATTCTTGTCAGGAAGTTCAGCTTGTTTTCCAGGACCCAGATATCATTCGCCGTGATGTGTGTGCTTGTCAGGATTCGTTTCATGTGCATGTGTTGCTCTTCGCCGAGCACACCTTCGATAAAAAGTCTCTCTACCAGAATGCTGAGCTCCGCACTGTGATTTTTCATGTCAACTTGATTGCCACTTATCTTTTCCTTCACCATCTCTATCGCTGCCAGACTTCTGTTGATGTGAGATCCATAACGTAGGTTCTTGCGGATCGGAGTTCGACACTTGGGACATTCCTTCAGCTTGATGGCCACCCGCCCTTCTCCGTTCGCCTGCTGCTCGTCATCCATCGCCATGTACGTGTCCATGGACGCGAGTTCGATGAGGTGGCCGCAGTCTTCCAGCTGGATGAAACGAGCATCGGGGTCATCCTCCATGCCAAAGAAAATTTCCGTGACTTCGTCTTCGTGACAGACGCGACATTTGCTCGGACACGTGTCCCCACACAGGCCGATGCAAGGGTGGCCGCAAGTCAGGGTCCGGGCACAGGGCTGGGTACACGGCGGCCGATCGCACGGCTCATGGCACAACTTGCTGCAGCTTTGGTGAGGGCACTCGGAAGCGCAAGGCTCGCGGCAAGGGACGCAGGGCTCGCCGCAGGTCTTCATGCACTTGCTGTGGACGCAGCGGTTCTCACAGGGTTTCTGACAGGGCGGGCAGTCGCGGGTGCAGGGAACGGCGCACTTATGGGAACATATGAGAAGACGGTCGCACTGATGAAAACAGGGGGCGTGGAAGCGTCCGTTGAAACACTGGCCGCACGTTCCGCGACAGGCGTGTCCGCATTTCAGCTGCTGCTCACATGGGGTCGCGCACGTTGGCTCATCTTCACATGTTTGGTAGAAGCAAGGGGCCAGCTGGCTGTGGCCGCATCGCAGTCGGAACGTGACGTTGACCGCGCACTTGCCGCTGCCGCATGGCAGCCCGCACCACGTGGCGCAGCGATGGCCACACTGCAGTGTCCTCTGGCAAGGCATCTTGCACGTGAAGGTGTTTGGGTCCTGGTGACAGGGAACCATCTGTGTGTGCTGACACTTGGGGATGATCTTTTCAACACTGACCGGACATTCTTCGGGACATTCTGCATGGCAGACAAGCGGGCACTTGTGTCCCAATTGGCATAGAATTCTCATACAGTCTTTGACGCACTTGTACTTTTTGTGCTCCTGGTCGTAGGGGTGGCAGACACTCGCGCACACGTGGCCGCAGTCCAAACGGTACTCACAGGGTTGGGTGCAGCCTCCCTCGGGGGCCTGCAGGAAATCGTCGGCGCAAGCGGCTTGGATCTGCCGTTCCGGGTGATTCTGACAGCACAAAGTCAAGGCCCCCCCGATCTGACCCCCCTCTCTCAAGGTGCTGAAGATGTTGCTCCACAGCTTTACCTGGCCCAGCATCTCACTGTTGCCAATGCAGTAGAGACCTTTCTTGGCTCGAGACAAGGCCACGCAAACGCGATTGGAAATATTCAAAAAGCCGACTTTCAACTCCCTGTTGCTGCGCACTAAAGACAACAGGACAATGTCATTCTCCTCTCCTTGGTATTTGTCCACAACACAGACTTTGACGCCTGAAAATTGGCTGGCCGGCATGAGCCGGCGCAGGCATTGGAGCTGGGCCGTGTAGGTTGTCAGGATGGTAATCTGATTTGGTGTGTACTCCTGAAGGAGAAGATAACGACACAGAGCAACGACAAACATGGCCTCGTGTTGGTTTTGATGGCTTTTGCCCTCCTTGAACTGTTTTTCAAGTTGGTTGTGCGCCACGAAGAACACGTTGGTTTTCAGACCCTGTAACAGAGATTGTCAATGCAAATAGTTATTTGGTGCTCACCAAAAGAGCATCACTTTTAAGAATACAGTGGTACCTCTACTTACGAACGTCTCTTCGGACGAAATATTCAAGTTATGAAATTCCTCAACGGGAAATATTTCCTCTTGTTAGGACAGACATTTCAAGATACCAAAGGTAAAAAGACAGCATGGGCCGCTATTCGCAGCTCCGAGTTTCCTGAACGCAACATGATAGCTATTTTGCCATTGGCCATTACCAAGCATCTTCCTGCCATCCCATTGGCTAAGAGGGAGGGAGAGTGCGAAAAGCACTGCGGACTATCCTGCGACTGTGGATAAGGCGATCCAACACAAACCTTAATGTTGTCAAAGTTCAACACAGAGGGATGGTTTTCCAGCTCTTTGTAAATGTGTGGCGTCAGAAGGCGGGCGATTTCTGGCCTCATGCGATGCTAAAAAAATCAGCAGGGGACAAATGAGCTTTCGTTTGAAATACAGTCAGGTTACACTGCAGAGCACTCCCGGAAAAATAAGTTCCAACCTGTTGCTGAAGTCTGACAAAGGGAAGTCCCATATTGACCAGCCTCTCGAACATGGACACCCCCATTTCGTAGTTCTTCTCCAGATCAAATTCTGTGGAACTGGGGCGTAGCTGTGGAAATATCGATAACATGTTCAGTATTTTTGGAGGACATTCTCGGGGCAGCACGGTGACCTTGTTCTGAGCATGGGTGCCTCAAGAGTTCTGAGTTTCTGCCTTCAAATCTTGAGTTGGGCCTCTAACGTTCCAAAAACACGCATGGCATATATAAGCCTGTAAATTTTGTGATTGACAGGCAACCGAGTCATGGGTGTGCCCCTCTTCTCCCACCAAAATATGCTTTTCAAGGCTCCAGGTCACCTGATGCAGAAGAGATGACTGGATTTACAGGTTGTAGATTGCTTCCATGAGGAACAAGCGTTTCATGGGCAAAATTTCAGTCAGTTCATTGACTTTTCCCTCTCTCTTTCTCTCTCTTTTTTTTGGGGGGGGGCATAAGCTTTTCAGTGATTCATTAACTGTGGGGCTTTTCTACCTCACTACTTGAAATTGAATCAACATTGCCATCTTCTGGTTTCTGCACTCAATTACTGCCTCAGCCGATTACAGTACTGCGCACTCTGACTTGGGGGGGAAAAAATGCCTAAACTGAAAAGAAAATGTTGGATTGACATGAAAACAAGAAAGAATGGACAGTGATTTTAATGCATGAAAATCCTTTTTCATGCATTAAAAAAAGTCCTTTTTTTTTTTTTTTAAAGACCATGCCAAACCTGTTTTTAACCGAATAGTGTATTTATTTAAAATCATCAAGCCCAACTATTTGAGGCTGATTTATAATAAACCATGTCATGGCAGACTTGACCATGTTTTTCCCCACTTTTAACATCTGTTCCCAAATTAGTGTCCCAATTATCCATCCATCCATCCATTTTTCGATCCGTTTATCCTCACAAGGGTCGCGGGGGGTGCTGGAGCCTATACCAGCCTTTGTTCGGGCAGTAGGCGGGGGACACCCTGAACCGGTTGCCAGCCAATCACAGGGCACACAGAGACGAACAACCATCCGCGCTCACGCTCACACCTAGGGACAATTTAGAGTGTTCAATCAGCCTGCCATGCATGTTTTTGGAATGTGGGAGGAAACTGGAGTACCCGGAGAAAACCCACGCAGGCCCAGGGAGAACATGGAAACTCCGCACAGGGAGGCCAGAGCTGGAATTGATCCCGGTACCTCTGCACTGTGAGGTCAACACGCTAACCACTGGACCACTGGGCTGCAGGTCCAAATTATTTAATAAATAAATGATCAGAACCAAGCCCTGCATTGAATTGCAAAAATGCCAGAAATTGACACCCCAGCAATTTCTTATGGTTGCCTTTATTAATCGCTTAGGATATAAATATATGACAAATGACGATTCAAACTTATTTTACAATACTCTTTAAAATAAATGGCTGACAGATTTCATTTCAATGTACCAGATGCGTGTCTGACCACATGTAGAAGACTCTTCGTAACTTACTAACAACCCAGGCTAAACTTAAGTCCCCTCTGAGATATAAATGAGTCTCTCAGGTGAGATGCGCAGCACTTCATCATGCTGCATCATCATACTGCTTCATCGACCCCAATTAACATTTGCAAGGCTTTGGCGCACTCTTGTGGCATCTTCGAGCATTGTAACAGAATAGAATGCAAAAAAAAAAAATTAAATTGGCGAATAGGCAGAGGTTCACTGAATCGATTCGCTGTGAGGCCTCTTACCTGCTGGTGGTCTCCAATGAGAATGAGGTGCTGACATGCTTGACTGAGTGCGGTGATGATGTGGGCCTCGAGAACCTCCGCCGCCTCTTCGACAATCACCAACCGCGGGCGAACCTCCTGAAGGACCTTGCGGTACTTGGCCGCACCTGTTGTTGTCATACCGATGACCTGAGGGCAGCAGTCAGGAACAATTTGAATTGATTGGCTCAAAGTTGTCAATGGTCACTTGCTTTTCAGACATAGGCAAAATGGAAGAAGCCATTTCAGGTGAAATCCCGGACTCTGACGAACGTCTACAAAAGATTTTTTTCATTATCGTGAGCATAATTGCATTTCGTGATTTTTACGACTGTCACAGAATCAATAAACACCAATGTGCTTGTGAAAAGTTTCTTTTTTTTTCCATTTTGTTTTTCTCTCTCTCACACTTAGGAGTGATGTGCTCCCTCTTACGAGTAGCAGTCAAGAGGCGAGCAGCAGCATTTTGGACCAACTGGAGACGCTTGATGGAGGATTGGCTGACTCCAAAATCAAGTGTATTACAGTAACCCAGCCGGGATGTGACGAACGCAGGAATTACTGTTTCAAAGTCGCGTAGTAGCACCAAATGCTCAACCAAAAATGAGGTTGAAGTTGTCACCATAAGCCACATTATGTACGGCTCTAACATTAACACCAATGTTAAAGTGAAGTGGTAAACAACGGTAGTTCGAGATTCAATCAAAATGTAGCCCACAAACAACAGTTGAAAAAGATAAGATTAAAAATTCCAAGGTTAAATGCTGATTTATTCTACTTAAAAGTTAAATCAAACTGTATGGTGCTTAATACGTGGATGCACTTGATGGAAACTTTTTTATTTTCTTCATAAAAAAGTTTGAATAAAGAAAGGAGTGTTTACTATTACAATTTTGCAGTTGTGTAAGTGACTCAGAAGTGACGTAACATTCTTAGTTATTGCACATTACATGTTGGGAAGTAACCTGCTTCATGCTACGTGTGAGAGACAACAATTGCTAACTTTCTCATGTGTACCTTGGCCCTCTTGAGAATAGAGAGAGTCTCATCGCGTTTGATTTCAGCGTATCGGTCCGCTGCCCGCTGGTATTCCTCTTCGGAGATTCGCGCTTTGTTACGGATGTCAGCTCTGTAGCGTACCATCCACAAACTGCAGGCGCACAGAAAGTCTATTTGTGAACAAGCACCACCCACATCGTCATGCACAACATATACCTGACTGGAAACCGTCATCTTGGGTGAGGTGGGCGGATGTCGGACACATAAATATGCAGCCATTTATAAATGATCAGAAGCAACTATCAGTGCAGTTCTACACAGACAACCACCGCGGCAAGTGAGCACAGGAAGGAAAACTAACCGATAGAGTCTCCATCGGTCTGCCATGCTGAGGGCCCAAACATCCAGGATTCTTTTTTCCTCTGCTTCGCTCATAGCAGTTTTCTTGGCCAGCTCTTTCACGACTTTGCGCTTCATCTTCTTCTTCTGTTCCCGTTGAAACTGGAAAAAAAAGGGTGAAGGTGAGACACACAAACTGAAACCTTTTGTTTGTTGGTCATCACGGGCTTTGAAGTAGTGATGGGAAAATGGAGCTCCAAAATGCTTCATGAACCACTTGTGTTTATTGAGCTGCCTCACTGTTAAACATTGGGCTGAAAGCACAATGACTCGGCGTTTCTTAAACCCCTTTCCTTTAAACAACAGTGCCATCTACAGCAGTCAAAAAATACAACTGGTTCACGAAGCAAATATGAAGCTTCATATTCTCATCACTACTTTAAAATGATTGGAAAAGAGAGCTTACCATCCATTCTTCCTCAGTCTCCTCAGGTTTTATTGGGTCCTGATCCATGCTCATCGCCAGTATAGATTTCTGTATTCTCCTGAAGCCCATTGCCTCCCTGAGACATTCTCTCTCGTCGTTGCTATCACATTCAGTGTCGATGTTGTCCTCAATTATGCGTTCGGCCTGGATCAGATCGGCCTCCTCTGCGACTTCAATGACGTCCTCCTGCTCCAACTCTGTTCCAACCTCGTCTGCGACATTACAGATGGATTTGTCTTAATGCCAAAATGTGAATTTGAGCTCATCAGGGATGTTAAAAATCAAGGTAAAGGCAGAACGTCCTTGGACGCGATGGCATCTAATATGAGATACTTTAAAATCACAATACAAGACTGTAAACATCAAGTTCGTTTTATTGGTTTGTATCATATTCGGAGTAAAACATATTGCATCCTTTCATATTGTAATTGGAATGAACTGTATCATTATTGAGGGAATTGTGTTCTCATTAAATTGAGTCGTTTAGGATTGTATTGTAAATGCAGTGAATTGCATCTTCTTAGTTGACAAAATGTATCACACTTAAAGTAAAGACACATTGTATCACTCCTGGGCCATAAATAATGATTTTAAAAATAACATTTTGTCCATTTCACTTAGAGTGGCAGAGATCTGATAAATATATACTTTTGATCTACTTTGTTGGTATGATCCAGGCCTGATTCAGATTTGAGGAAATCCACTTCCAAGTATTTCTTTCTGCTCTCTCCAGTGGACTATCAGTTGCTCATCACCGACAAGATGCTCTGTCATTGCTGGAGTGAAGTGAAAACCACTCACCTTCATCCGTGTTTGCGTCCTCAGTTTCCATCTCCAGGATGCATTCGGGACCCAAACCTAACCACTCCACTATTAAACTGGACTTGCTGTTCCATATCCCAAGGTTCTGCATTAACATTCATTTTTTTCCCCAGCAAGTTTGTTCATTTGCAGGCGCAAGCGCGCGCGCGCGCACACACACACACACACACACACACACACACACACACACACACACACACACACACACACACACACACACACACACAGATAAGTCATACACATACTGCACTTCCTCAACTTCCTCAGCAATAAAGTTCAAAGTATATGTGTGAATATCATATCGTCCCAGCAAAATGAACACGAATAACCGATGTACCAAGCATTTCATGCAAAAATGGCATCTGCCGCAATGCGACGGTATTGTGCAAAGTAATTTATCGAGCAAGAAGAACAAATAAAATCACTTTTATATTCACTGTTATTTACTATCGGGGGCCTCTTTGATGGTCATGGGGTCCCCGGGCTCTATAGTTTGTTTATGCCTCGGGACAGTTTAAGTTTACATTTTATTGTGCAATACACAAATCTATGTGCTTTTACAATACACTCACACGTAGTTGCTGCAGTCTTTTCCAGTGCTTTTCATCCATGACGTTTTCGAGGATATTCTCATGCAGGATACCGGTTAGAGAACAATGAAGTGTGTGCTTGGAGTTTTTTATCCCAGTCTCCAAATCACGCAATTCTGAGTGTATCTGATCAACACAAAAGGGCATGAATCAACATCAGACTTTTAGATTCAAACTTATTTAATCAACTTGATTTCAACGCATAGTAAAAAAATAAATAAATAAAAACTAGCCTTCAACTTGAGCAGTGAGCTACGTCAGTTGGCAGCGTGCCCGTAATACCACACAAGATATCAAGGTTCTGAGCCACACGCAAAAAGAAATTGTTGTCACGCCGCACAAGAAGGCATGCTCAGGTCCCACCATGGTTACTTTTTCAGTTTTTGTTTTGTATTTACACACTAGAAGGATTTTTTTAACAATTGTTATAATGACTTTATTACTTCGTAGGCTAATGATACACGGACTAAATTATGTAGGAAGGAATGGAACTCTTGCCTAAAAAAAGAAAAAAAAAATGCAACTTCAACACATTGACAATCTCACCTCTGTGAATGCGTGGCGGAGATAAGACGGCTGTCGCTGTTTGACCGAAAATGAAGCAGCCAGTTCTTTGAGGTTGAAACTCTTGAGGATCTCACTATTGCTGCGGCCCCCCACTCGCACAATGCCGCTGGGCATAAACTTAAAGATCCCTTTCATGGACAAGTTAAAAAAAAAAAAGAACAAAAAAGGTGTTGCCACATGAATTCCAACTTAACCATACGGCGAGACTCATAAGATGGAATATGGAAGTGAAATAATTATGGGGCCATTCTGGTTGCAAAACCATTTACAAATGCATACTTCAATCTATAAATAATAATGAGTATTTTGCCCAATGAATGACCTGGTTCATTCGGCTATCGAGCACCAAAGTTTGACCATCGCTGATTTAACATCACATTCAACTGGCCTCACTGCTTACCCTCAAGGAACTGATCCAACGCATGGTTAGTGTAACACACGACCAGCATTGGAGAATTTTCTTCGGGATCACGCCAAAGATTTTGATTATTCAGAAGAGCCTGTGCTATCTTTAATCCAACGTGGGTTTTTCCTAAGGAAAATCATACACAGGAACGAAAAGATCATCTCTGCAGTGCCCAAAACATTTATGAATTGATCAATTATGATGAACGGGATTCATCTTACCAGTGCCGGGGGGTCCTTGTATGATGGCCAGCTCCTTGGTGAGAGCCAGTTGGAGGGCTCTCATCTGGGACCCATCCAAGCTCAACATCTCCTTCTTGGGCCAGGCGATTTCATCCAGGCTGTGAAAGGGTCTGATGGACTTTGCGCAGTCATTTGCAGCAATGGATGACAAGTCATAAATGTCGCTTCTTGGAAGGTATGCTGGCGGGTGGATGTCAGTGCTACACTCCACGATATACCTGAAAGCGCGAGACATGGTGACATCGTTTCGCAGTTGTTTGATGGAGTGGGCACAGCTGTATCAATCAGCTAGAATGGAAAAGTGCAGCTGGCGACAACAAGAATGAAGGGTAAATTCAAGGAAATAAGTCGACAAAAAGACAAGGTGCCCAAAGACAGAGCCCTGGGCAACCCCCGCAGTTCATGGGATATTACAACCATTGATCGGCATAAACATTTGAAGGATAAATTGCTAATGATTGAAATATTCAGGCCAGCAGGAGAAAGCTACCTGGTGGCCTGCACTTCCAACACTGATGCAATCCAAGCAATTTCATTGGAGTGACTCTTTCCCTTTGACTTAAAAGTCTCATATTACAATTCAGAATAAACAAACTACAAATAAATACTTTTTGGAAAATGGAAGATTACGGTCGTGATGAACCATCAATGTCCAGAAATAAATGTTGACACAAGAGCAAACGGATTGGACTCGGAATGCAAAAAAAGATGAATTGGAAGTGTACAATGTTAAGTGGATTGTTGTAATGTGAGCTTCTAAAGTTCAACAGTCCTAATAAGTGCAGGGTCATCCGACCGTCTGGATTTGTTGAAGGAACAGTTTTCCTCTATCAAATGAGATGTTTTTTCCCTGATGGCAGGTCTTGTCTGAGAGCAATCCCAGGATTCATAGGCATAAACACGGTCTAGATCTGAAGCTCGGTAACAATAGATCTGGTCAGTTCCTGAATCATCCAGGTTCATGATTTGAATCAATTAACTTGGTTCAGATAAGTCCTCGGAGTGGCTGCTGCTAAATAAACTAGGAAAGTTAAAAGAGTGATTTGGTTCATCAACTGGCTGATTCAGTTGGGGTGGGCAACGACAAAACACTAACTCGGGTGAACGGGATTACTTTAATAAGTGAGTCAGACTAACCAGAGTCTATCAAAGGAAGCGATATTCAATTATCAGTGCTAAGAGTGAATATTTGTAAGAGCTTAGCCAAAAACGATTGGGGATCTGACTGCAAATGAATGCACCTAAGTCATTCTTTTGTAGAAAACAGGCACGTTTGCATTTTTGCCTACCTCTGAAAGGCCATGTCATCCTCGTCTTGTTCTTGCAGGCCTTCCAGAACATACCGGTAGGCCTCAAAGTAGGCAGGTGTCTCAACCATCACAAAGGTCTGCTCTTTCTGAAGGATTGTATACAATTAGCCTCACCAGACATCCGCTGACCGCTGAAAATTGGGCTGTGCGGCATATTCCAACTCATAGTAATGAGTTTGTGTTGGTGCCGGTATTACAACAGCAGTTGTTGCCTACCTCCATCCTGGCCAGCTTGTATCTGCTGTCATCCGTGAACATAATTGTGACCTGTCCCTTGGTAAGCTTCTTGGGGTCTCGGTCTGCCACGGTGGCGTACAGTATGCTCTCAAAATGATCACAGGAGAGGCAGACCAAGGAACCATAGAGCAATCTCTTGGAGTTCTCCCAGCGCACAAACTGAAGAGGGACAATCGAGGGGAGCGTGATTAAACACGGTGATATTTCACTCACTCAAGCGTGTCCTCATGTCGACAAGTACACTCGTCACAAAATGTTCAGGAAATTCGGCTTTGGTTTTTTTTTTCGTCTTTTTTTTTTTTTTTTAGGCACCGTGACTTTGACATCTGAACTAAATTTGACCTCTCAACTTGAGAATGCAAAGATCCAACTCTTCATTGTTTGAATACGTTTTGCACAACAAAGCTGTTTTCGAACAGGAAGCTGATGGAAAAAATTCACAGCAGGGTTTTGACCATCAATTGACCAAGAAATTTCTATGGATTCTTCCAGGGCCCTCAGTATTTCTGTTGCAACTTGAAATGCTGAACAGTTGGACGTGTGCATTCACAAGCTTAGAGGCCAAATGAAGTTCACCAGTAAAGGTTATGAGGAATTTTAGGTTCATCCTGAAATGTCACACAAAAGCCCAATATTCCAAACATCATGTGCGTAAGTAGCGCATGTTCCAAATGTTCCATCTAACCTTAAGTGGTTGGACGTCAAACTTGACAACATAGGCAAGACCAGTCAACATGCACTTGGGCGCCTCCACTTTCACATCAAAATACACAAGGACGTCGTCAAAGTGCTTTTTCTCCAGCTCCGGATGGTTTGCCCCCATTTGCATATGACGCAAGAGCTGGATCCCTTCACGGAGTCGCCGCACCAAGTCCTCCCTCATGAGCCTGAAGTGTGTGTCCAGGTAGATGAGGGTGTTTGTGTATCGCTGCGAAGTGATGTTTGGTCGGAGGAAAGGCCTGTGGTCCTCCACAAACTCCTCGGGAGTTGGGTAGATGGGCATGGTCCTGAAAAGTGGCTGCTCGTCCTCGTCACCTTGGTTTGGAGCACAGTAAGCAACTTTTAAGTCCTCGTCATATCCACGCAGATCCGCCCCTTCGCCGAGCAGCAGCCGAATCGCATCTTCACATTCGGGATCGCACCAAGATCAATTAGGCCGACATTTCCGTTACCTGTCAAATCCAACTGGAGGAGACCATAGGTGTCCCTCCTTGGGTGGAGAGTTCCTTCGCAAGACTTCTCCTGGAGGTGCTTGAGCAGACCCTCAAGTCGCGCCACCTTCTCCACCACCTCAGCTGGCACATCAACTCCTGCCGTCCTCAGTCCGTCCACGGAGGCTTGGAGCAGCGTCAGTAGCAAGCCGACAGCTTCGGCCGAGCTCGCGGGGAAGGTGGTGAGGACCTAAAGATCAAGTGTAGAAAACGTGGAGTGACATGAATAAATGAGTTTGGAAATCCAGGAAACTCATAGCTGCAATTTGATCTCCTTACATGTGTAAGAATCAGCAGGATGTATTCCAGGTGACGCGGATATTGTTCCCTGCGCTGTGGTTTACGCTCTAACTTCATGCCTGCCAGGTAGTGGGGGAGGGTGGTGCGAAAGAAGCCGGAGTCTTTTAAGATGCTAGCCAGGCGCTGCAGGGTGACTCGGTTTGAGCGAGATCTGAAGGCTTTGCTGAGCACAAGGCAAAGGAGTTCCACAAGGTCCTGCCGCATGTTGGTCTCCAGCAGCACATCTGGCAGGGCTGGGTGAGAGCAGAGGGTGAAAGCGATGGCTGACGGCTCCTTTTCGGAAAGCTCCAGGAGGGATTTAAAGCCCAGCCTGGGACCCTGCGGTGCGCCGTTTCTGCTTGTGGAGCTCCCTCCGTCACGACGAGTATCACCGGAGCCATCTCTTCTTCCTTTACTCCATGTACGTTGTCCTTGCCGTTTCCTGCTCCCTTCATGGTCTTTCTCACCAGTACTTTGAGGAACTTGACTCTTTGCGTTTTGACTCTCACCTGAGCCAACTCCTCTTGCTCCACCTCCCCCCGTCTGACGCCCTGTCCGGCTGACATCTCGAGGATCCTGTGGCATGACGTCTGTGCTTGTGGAACAACGCTGACTGTCACCAGTGGCATCTCTTCGTCCTTTGGACCCCAGACAATTTGCTTGCCCCTCTCCACCCCCTCGACGTCCTCTCCCATCAGCTGCTCTGTTCCCTCCCCGATTCAATCCGTGCCTTACTTCGTCCCATAACCTCATATCCCCACCATCCTTCTCCTCACTGCGTTGAAGTGCTGCATTATATTCTCCTCTCCCATCTGCCTCCTCTTGTCGACCAAAGCCAACCCTCCAATTTATACTGCTCCTGTCCTGTGCGTCTCGATGTGCGCCTCTTCCTCCACCAAAACGTTGTCTGATATCTGCATATTAAGAAGGGGGGATGTCACATGTCAGAAAACCTTAAAACAAAGTCAAAGGCGAGTAAAAATTAGTGATGAACAAATGAAGTTTCATGAAGCCTTTGCAATCATTTTTGACTTCCTTACATGGCACTCTTGGTTTAAAGATGCAGTGGAAATGTAATACATTTCCATTGCACTAGATTTTAAATTTACACCAAGGGCACCGTCTAGAGGAATAAAAAAATGTTTCATAACGCTTCATTTTCCCATCTCTAGTGAATATGTTGAGCCAAAGATGGATTAAAAAAAAAAATCTCACCCTTGTTCATGGGGTCTTTTTGTCCTCTAAACATTTCCAAGGTCTTGGATTGTCCAGTTTCAGAAATCTGCTGTGCCCTGGATTCCAGCAACAAACAGGAAGACAATGACTCATTGGCATTTGACTCAGCATGACACCACCACAAATTAAATAAGCATGTCAACATGCATTAAAAACAAGATTCATTGAAAACGAACAATGAATGCATATTAAGCTAATCATATAAAATTCAGGGTGGTGGCAGGGGCGCTCACCTTTCCAAATACAAAAAAACAGACTGCTGCAAATTTGGAGGCCCCGCGCAAAATCAGGCAACACTACGGACTACCAGCGGGACTAAAGGACAGAAGTGCTTTATCCCCTTAAATAGAAAGACAGTGGGAGGATGACTGCTGTGGATTCTTTCTAGTGTCCATCCGGCAGTTTCAGTTTCGATGAGTACCAGCGCGCCCCCTGCGGGCTGCACGACAGATATGCAGAGCATCGTCAGTTTCTCTTCGTCAGAAAGGAAAACAGGGGACGGCATACCGTAAATGCACCTCCATTTGATTAGAGAGGGAAAAAAAATTATCGCTTCACGTCGACTAATTCAACGGCACAGTCATTCGCTCGTATATTCTGATTCACTCCTCGAATACATACTCTATCATAATATTTGTTATTCATAACTGAGTGGCATATTACAATATCGGTAACATGAATAGAATTGTCATTAAACTCCATCTCATTGCCCAAAAATAGCCAGTAATTGTACAACAAACAAGCAAACAAAAAAACTTACATGGGGTTTCGTGTGTTCACCTGAAGCTCCCTGGCGCGAAACTGTGCATGGTCGCCTCTGTGAGCAATTTTATAGGCGAGTTGAGTTGCGACTTCCTCGTAACTTTCGTTTTCCGAACATCAGATGAGCTCACGCGCACGCGCACAGAAACATGTATTGGTGACGCGACAATACTAGCGTTTACATGCTGTTTGGTTGAAAAGTACAGGAACACTCAACATGAGTCATTCCAGAAATGGAGGATAACAATTCATTTGAATATAACTAGTGTTTCAGAATAGTGACGACACCCACCAAGTCAAGTCAGCTTTATTGTCAAATATGCTCTATGTGCGACATACAGCACAGATGAAATTTCTTTCCTCTCAACCACGGTGCAAACATGGAGTCCATTGAAAACACACAGCTAAAAATCAGGGCAGCGTCTCCTGACCGCCTGGTGGACTAAACTGTTCTTGAGCCTGCTGGTTCCAATCGTATCCAGCTGCAGACTCGGAGGAGGTACCTTCAGGCAATGGTAGACATACGCCGGAAGTGGCTGTGGTCATTTTAGGCAAATTTGATTTTCAAGTCCGGGAAAACGAAAGTGAAGTGTTCATTAATTGTAATGGGGAATTTAAATTATTTTATTTGAAGAATAATCTTTCTTTAAAAATTAAGTTGAGATTATTAATATTTTTTTTATCAAACTAATTTGATAAAAACAATTACAGGGCCTTTTAAACATTTTTAAGATAGACGTGCGACTTACTTCGGACTCGGACGTCATCCTTCCGACGTCATATCCGGCGCAAAGTGACTTGCCGAAACCTTCCTTTCCCTGAATCGGCCTCCTCCGGGTCTGCAGCTGGACCCTTCTCGCTGGTTCGAGCAGAGAGACACCGCAGTCTCCTTCCCGAAGGTCGAAGAGGTTGTGAGATGGGTGGGAATTTCTTGTATTGGTTGCTCTTTATCGTCTCACTCACCAAAGCTGACGATAACAGGACAAAACAAAATCATCCCCAAACGTACTATACAGTATTCCCATAATGGCACGGGGTAGTACAGTACAAGTTCAAAATGTCGAACGTAAATCATGCACTGCAGCCGTAATAAAACCATAAATTAAGAATATACTGTACAATCTTTGCTTCATTTTTGGACGTATTGGTTTGAATAGAAAATATTTCCGTTCGCCCCCCCCCCCCATAATGCCACAGGTTTCGTGCATTCGGAAGTCTCTCTCTCGCTCTCTCTCTCAAAATTTGTATTGTATATAACGGTACGTTAAAAGTAATGTTTGCCGTTTTACTTCAGTGCATATCAAAGTTTGTACTGTCTGTCTTTCTGTCTTCTCCAAGTCTTCTTGTTATCGTGATGTTTAAATAAAGTATTTAAAAAAACAACCACCCCACCATGCTTAAAAAAATCGCCTGACTGCGCATGCGCGAAACTAGCTTTTCGCTGTGACGTTCCAGTCTGCCGCCGGTCGTCCCGGCCATCAAAACAAACATGTAACGTCACGGGTTTCTCACGTTAACCAGCCGCTCAGCTGTCCGACTCACGATGGCCACTTTGGGGGCGACGTTCACGTCGGAGGTGCCGCCGCG